TGAAAGCGTCGCCCACGGGGTAGACGTCCTCCAGGAACCGTAACAACACGCATAAACCCAATGACACCAGAGAAAAAAAACAATCAGCGGCCGGGAGCCCGGGAACCCAGAACCCACCGAAATCGGCCCGGAACCAATAAATAACGGGGAACCCGGGAACCCGGGAACCCCGAACCGGGAACCCGGGAACCCAGCCTGCTACCAAAATCGGCGGAAAACTTTCGCCAAATCTTTCAACTTCCGCTAGGACCCCTTCTGTGCAAGCACTGTTTGGGGAAAAACCTTGGGCGCTCCGCGCGGATTTCATGGATCCAGGAAATCCGCGCGGAGCTCCGAAAATATAACTATGCTTGCAGCCATCGTGCTACCAAAACGAGCGCTGAAGAAAAAACGAAGGGGCTTTTCAGGCCACAGCGAGCCCCCGCCACGACCGGGTTGCCGACCTAGACCTAGGGATCAGCCCGACGAAAAACCAAGCCCCTCCTGAGCCCAGGGCAGTCCTTACTTCAGCGCCCTGACGTCATGCACAGAAACGTTCGATGGCCCGCACTTGCGCAGCGCCTTTAAAGGAAGAAAAAACGCTGTGAACATAAACTTCTAGCGCTCCGCGCGGATTTCTTGGATCCGCGCTGGACCCCCTCCTTGGCGCGCGGAGCGCGCCATGGGCGGCGCCAGAGGCGCCACCTGGGGGGCCCAGCTCGGGTCCAAGATATCTGCGCGGAGCGCCAAAAGTTTATGGTCATAGCGTTGTTTCCACCTCGAGTTTTCGTCCTCGAGTCCTTGATGACCATGGGCAGGGAGCTGAGCTGGCACGCGTGCGTGCGGAACGCCTCGAGGGCGGCCCAGAGGCGCCGCCCCCGCTCGCCCAGGTTCGGGACGAAGCCCACGGGCCCAGCCAGGATCTCAGCGCGCGACGCAATCTCGCCGAAGTGTCTGTCCAGCAGGTGCTGAAGTTCGGCGGCGAGCCTGGGGGGGGGGGAGCGAGAAGGGGAAGGCCGCCTCAGACGGCTCGGAAGTCCCCTGGCCGTCCGAGAAGTTTTCCCAGCCTTCACCGAAGACGCAGAAAACCTCTCAGAGGGCGCGCGGGCTTCTGAGAAGTCCCGCCGCCTTCCGAGAAGGCCTGCTCACTTCCCCCCCCTCGCTCGCCGCCGAGAAGTATCTGCGTCACGACGGCGGGGTGCTTCTTGGAGTCGGCGGCCCGGTCCGCGGGCGGCTTGGTCCACACCGCGCACTCGAGGATGCTGCCGTCCTTGAAGCGCCGCAGCTCCGACTTCTCGGGCCCCCACAGACTCCTGAAGCGCGCCGCCGCCTCGACGTCTTCCGCACTCGGACCTGGGGGAACCAAAGGATACCGACGCCGCTGCTCCACGGACCCCTCCCGGGGCGCGCTCTGTCCCGGGACTGCGCGGCGGACCCGGCCGCGGCGACGGGGGCTCTCTGGCACGAGCAGCGGCGTCGGCACCCCTTCCTCCTCTGCGGACCCCTGTCCAAGCTGCGGTCGAGGTGCAGGGCGTCGAGGGTGATGCCGGCCACCACCGCGAGCGCCCCCGCGGGCCGCTCGCGGTCCCAGCGGGGGCCGGGCTCGCCCACGAGGCGCGCGGAGACCTGCAGGCAGCGGTCCCCGAGCCCCGCGGCCAGCACCTCGGGGAGCCGGGCGGCCAGGGAGAGCGCCTCGCACGCGTCCGCGGGCGGCGGCGTGCCCAGCACCGTGTGCGGCGGCGGCGGGGCGGCCAGCGCGGGCGTCGCGGCGGCGCTGCCGAGGAGCGGGGCCCGCACCACGCAGTCCTCGGCAGGGAGGCTCCCCAGACAACACCAGCAGCCGTGCCTGGCCAGCGCCAGCCTGGGCCCTGGCGTGGTGCATGGGCCCTGCTGGCATATTTGTATCAAAACCTTGCAGTATATATTGTATAACACCTCTCACCACTAACTTAAGTATTAAATATATCATCATATTATGTAGACAAGTATAGTACACACATACATTCTGATAGTACACTGATACGTCAGGGCCTGTGCGCCAGCCCAGGGCCCAGGATGGCCCTGGCCAGGCACGGCGGTGGTGTCTGGGAGCCGCCTGCGGCAGTCCCAGAGGAGCTCTGGGGCCATGCGCCGCCCGAAGACCGCGTCGTACGGGTCGGCCTCCGTGTCGAGGAGCGTCAGGGCGCGCTGGGCCTCCCGCTTCAGCTCGCCGATGAAGGGGCCGAGACGCCAGAAGAAGTTGAGGATGCCGTCCGCGTCGAAGAAGTTGGCGCCGCGGGTGGAGCGCTCCTCGGCGGTGAGCGCGCGGGGCGCCGCGGCGCCGAGCACCAGCTTCTGCGACTCCCAGTCGATGGACGCCAGCACGCTCAGGGCGAGCTTGAAAAGCTGGAAGGAGGACGTCTCCGTGGGAGCAACGCTGGCCGTCTGCGCCGCGTGCGCGGCCAGCACGGACAGGCAGAAGCCGCTCAGGGGCATGAAGACCGCCAGGCCGCCGCCGGCGCGCTGGGCGCCGGGCTGCTGGGCCAGGAAGCCCCGCGCCCACGCCCACCTCTTCAGCAGGAGCACGGCGTCCCGCAGCGAGGGGAAGCGCTGGAGCGCCCTGTGCAGGTACTCCAGGCAGGCCCGCATGCGCACGTCCTCGAGGATGCAGCTGTTGTACTGCGCGGTCGGAGCCGGGGCTGCCGCCGCAGCGCCCTCCGCGGGGCGCACCGAGTTCCGGTTGGGCGCCAGCTTCGGCGGCGGGAAGAGGTCCGCGGCGCAGGACGGCAGCAGCCGCACCGCCCACGGCGCCGTCGCGTCCTGGTCCAGCGGCCGCAGCGTCAGGCACGGCCGGCACGGGTCGCCGTGGAGCGCCTCGAAGAGCAGCTCCACGCCCGCCAGGGGCGCGCCCCGGCCCTGCGCCTGCTCGGCTGCACGCCAGAGCGGCCCCGGGCAAGAGCGGCCAGTGGTGCGGGGCGCTCAAGGGGCGCTCAAGGGGCACAAGGGGGGGGGAGGGTCAAACCCAGGCGCTCAAGCCGCTGCTGCCGCGTCGCATTCAGCGATCGGGGGGGCCCAGGTGGGCCCGCACGAAAGGTCACTCCGGCGAAGGGTCACTCTCGCGCGTAGCCGAACCTTCGCCAGCTGGCGGCGCACCTCGCCGACGTACGCCGCGCGCTTGTCCCAGTACCTGAAGTTAAGGTAGTCCTTGGACTGGAACGTCTCCGCGGGCATCTCCAGCGCCACGTCGGCTTGCAGGCTCGACCGCAGGCAGGTCCCCAGCAGGAAGCTGCCAACGACGTCGATCCTAAGGAACCCGAAAGATAACGATACCGCCACTCCCTGGACCTCTCCAGAGGTGCGATTTAACCAGGACTTCAAGGCAAAACCAGTGGTGGCGACCGTCCCGGCATTTCTATAGGCCTACCACGAAATGCTGTTAGAACCCGAAAATGTTTTAAAAAGAAAACAATATTCTTAGAACATAATCCTGGTGTTCAAACAAGATAGTCCCAGCCAGAAATGTTCTAAAAACATTTCGTCGAAACCACGAAAGGTTCTTAGAACATGCTTTGGTAGGCCTATAGGCGAGCCAGAACGCTTCGCCACTGCTTGACTTTCTCCTCTGAGATCCGCTTCGGCGCGGCGAAGGTCATCGGGAACGGCTGGCGCTGCTGGAAGAGCAGCTGCGGAAACTCCGCCGCGAGGTCCGCGGGCAGCTCCCGCGCCTCCAGGCCGAGGAGCACCGGCCGCAACCCGTGCAGGAACGCCTCCAATCTGGCCCGGGCGGCCCTCCTCGGCGCCAGCTCCTTCAGCAGCTCCTCGAGCTGGAGGCGGAAGAGGTTCGACTTGTAGAGGTTTCGGGTGCGTGCTATCTCCATGACCTCCGCCGCGTCCGGCGCCCTGAAGGCCGACTCGGGCTTGGCCGCCGGGGCCTCGGCCTGCTGCCGAGGCGCAGCATCAGCGGGCGCCGTGTCCTCGGCCGCGGGCGCGGCCGCCTTCTTCGCGGCTGGCTCGTCGCCGCCGAGGCCGCCGCCATCGCCTCCAGCCTTCTGCCGCTTCTTGCCAGCAGCCATTGCTGGATCGCCACGGAGGGCCAAAAACCCGCAGAGAGCTGCAGCGCTTGAGCCAAAAGGCTCCGGATGAAGCCGAAAAAACACAGGCGGCTCGATGCGCACGTGGAGCACGTAGAGGCTGCGCGCTGGATGCAGATACGGAGGGCCGGCATATATACCCTGCCATAGACGGGCCGAAGGCTGGAAAGACATGTTTAGCAGCGCGCAGAAGGGGGTACGGGGAGGGGGGGGAGGCTTCTAAGAGGGAGGTTGCTTCTTAGAAGGCGCCGGCCTTACGCCTACAGACATGGCCCGCGCCTTCTGAAAGCAGGGCTGCTTCCACGAATCCGTCCCCCTCTCACCCTGCCCCCCTCCTGCGCGTGGCTGACATGTAGCTGCGTGTACCCACCTCTCGCCCAGGCTTGCCGCATCATGTGGCGGGGGGGCCCGAAATCCCGGCCCCTTCTCCGGGGCCGGCTTTTCGCCCAGAGCCGTTTTTGCTACCGTCCCACTGGCCATCGCTCGGACGTCCATTCTCTGTGTTTTTGTTCAGTTTCGTGCGTGGTTTTTCGCCGAATGATCAAGGATACTCCTCGATGGTCCTCGCCGAAGGAAAAATTCACACGTCCGAGCGATGCCAAGCCCAGGGTTGGGCGAGGGCCCCTGGGGGCCAAGAACAGTGCAAAAACTCCTGCTCATCACGCCGGAGGTCTTGGGGAGGAGCACCCTCCCTGTGCGTGGTTGTGACGCGCGCTGGTCGTGCCGCCAGCACGACGGCCAAGCCGCCCTGTGACAGAGCCGCCTGCATCCCAGGCCGCGCTGGAGGCCGAGAGCTCGAGGAATCCGGGCGGCGTCGTCCTCTTACGAATATCCTCCTCCTCCTCCTCCTCCTCCTCCTCCTCCTCCTCCTCCTCCTCCTCCTCCTCCTCCTCCTCCTCCTCCTCCTCCGCCTCCGCCTCCGCCTCCGCCTCCGCCTCCGCCTCCGCCTCC